CACATCAACAAAAAAATGTTTGGTGAAGACCTTTTTAATAAATAATCAAATACATGTAAAATATGTTATTAAAAATTACTACGAATACTGAAATACATACTGATTAAAGTACCGAAACTGGACAAGCAAATAACAAAACTAGAGTGGTATGGTCAAGAGGAAATGAAACAAAACTCCTAGTCAGAAACCAAAAGGAATGGAGGCGATTATTTTTCAATGATATAGCAATGTCTCACCGAGCTTTTAATTGTTTTTATTTACAGATTTATTACCTATTTAATACGTATTTAATGAAAAATCGAAGGAATTCAATCAATGATGAAGCAACCATAAATAGATAGGGGGAAAACAAGAAACATCTTAAGTTTTAGCAGGAAAAAAAAGTAAATATAACCAACGAGCGCAAAATTAACAGCAGATTTCGAGAACAAAAGTATTCGGGCAAACGAAAAGTAGGTTTACAAAACTATAATGTCAACAAACGAGGCAAAATACAAACCAATCCGACACATAGTTTGTTCACTTAGTAACGAAAGTACAATATCGAGCCGTGTCTTTACACGTTTCCTTCAGAAGTTCTTTGTGTCAAGTAAAGTGTTACGAGACCATAACAGACACTGGAATGTCAGGAGCTCAAGTTAAAACCACGGAAACGAGGCAATCACTTCTTCCAAGAAATCTCTCGTCGTACAGGAAAGAGATGCAGAAACACGAAGTATCCTCCGTTTCAGATTTGTATGACGATACAAATTATTCCGATAAGTTTCGTAAGTTCAGTCGGGCATTTTTCGATGAAGCAGACGACTGTGAAAGCATAGAGCTTGACTTTAATTTCAATTCTAAAAGCGGTAAATCTAAGAAAAACCGTCGGAAGTCTGCCAACAAAGCACCTCAGGTATATGCTTATTACAATGCTTACAAAAAATATTTCTCGCATTAATTACGTATATCAGTAAAACTTTTGAAAACTATTTATTAATGCAATAATTAATGCAGTAAAACTAACTGATTTATTGCATTGATCTACAGGATTTCATTACATATGTAATACGTATGCACGATAACTGGAGATATATATGCACAAATACTATTGGAGACCAAGTTATTTAAGCTCCAATAATCTTTTAAAATAAGGTTTTCATGTTAAAAGAATAATTAGCGAGGCGCACTTTTTTTTAATCTTACTTAATAATGAAGAATTATGACAAAACACTAGACAGCATGTTTAGTGTTTTGTTATTGAGTTCTTCCGCAAAGTTTATCGCAAGAATAACAGTTAGAAATCTTTCTTGAAAGCCTTTTTCTGAAGGAATGATTTACATAGGATTAGTAAGAACCAGAGTGAAGTTGGTGTCAGGTTTTAGAGTCAGATTTTTGAGTCAGGTTTTCGGATCTAGGGTCAGATTTTTTCCGGGGGGCATTACATCATGTTGAACACAAAGTGCTCTATATTCGTAGAAACGCTTTGATTTACTATAAAACCAACACCAAGCTTTACTCACACGATATTTCTTGAGATTCGTTGTCTTTTGAATTTTGTAACCGTGCAATCCGCTGTAACATGATCACTCTTTCAAGCGGCGTGACAGAAAAATCTGACTCAAAAATCTGACAACAAGTGATATTTCTTCGGGAGACTTGATTGTGACTTCCAAATGCGTTCATGAAGATCCCTTAGAAATGACGCTTGTTGGGAGATGTCAAAATTCAAGAAAAATATAATGGTTGAAAAGAGAATTTTGTTGATCACTCTCTCACGCGGCGTGACAGAAAAATCTGACTCAAAAATCTGACAACAAGTGATATTTCTTAATACTTTTATGTGTACTGCTTCATCGACAGTTTATTTGGACATCAAACTACGGCTTGGCTTATTCGACGTAAAGCATGGATATTTTTCGTTAAGAAAAAGTGCGTCAACATTTTGAAATAAAAGGGTTCAGTAACTCGATATATGGGAGCGGTACTCGAAGTATTTGTGGCATGAAGCCCGTTGATGGTAGATAAAACAGCTCAAAAAATCTGAAACCGCTGTTTATTTTCTTTGAGGTGAGTGTTTCGATCCCCAAAGACAACGAATCTCAAGAAATATCGTGTGAGTATAAAAGCTTGGTGTGGGTTTTATAGTAAATTAAAGCGTTTCTACGAATATAGAGCACTTTGTGTTCAACATGATGTGACGCCCCCCGGAAAAAATCTGATACTAGATCCGAAAACCTGACTCAAAAATCTGACTCTAAAACCTGACACCAACTTCACTTTGGTTTAGTATGAAGAATTACCCCTCGATGCTCGTATTGTCTATTTTATTACGATGACGATGCAGAAGTGATTCTACAAAATAATGATTACAAATACATGATATATAAATGGTAATTCGTGATTAACATGCTATAATAGTCCCATTGAATCATAAAGTACTTACAACAAAGAAGTAATCAGGT